AACTACATCTATACAGGAACGTCAACACGGACATGGACTCACTAACAGAGCAGGATTTCACAAGGGTTAGGGTTTAGGGTTTAGGGCTTAGGGTTTGGGCTGAAAAGTTTCGGATTACCTAATGTAGGGGCCTTTATGATTAGAATAGGGTTCTGGGGCTCAGTATACTATAAGTCAGGAACCCCCAACATGATGTAGGTAAGTATTGAGGCCCCTATATTAGCTCATCGTCAACTGTTGAGTTTAGGGGCTTCGGGTTTTACAGTTTAGGGGTTAGGGTTTAGGGCTTAGGGTTAGCCTGACCATTGACACTGGACATCCAAAATTAAAATGTGTAGTAACGAACCCTACCATGCTGGTTGTACAAACCCTGATGAGACACTTACACCCGTTTCTGCAACTGTCAACGAAGAGATATCTACAGAATGAATCACGTCTGTCAGGGGTCTACATTGCCGTCGCCGGCGGTACTGCTACTTCTGCTGGTGTTCATGTTTCTGGCTCCCCTTCTGCTTCGGCTCCTGCTTCTACGATGACAACGACAAACTACGACTACTGCTACGACGACCACTGCTCGACTGCGGGTGCGCTTTGAAGAAGATAGGAAGCCCGACTACACATCCGACACACCCCTGCATCTTGGTGACCAGCACTGCAAGCCTTACACGCAACGTTTTAAGGCTTGGGGATTTACGGGTAAGGTTTAGGATTTGTGTTCGAAACGAAGTTTATTACGGTCCGGTCCAATGGTTGGCAGCCCTATCGAACCTTTGTAGTTGTACAGCCCTGATACGACCCGTATAACAATCCTCCGACATTCTCAGCACCCTCTTAACCCCCCCATCGAGCCCTTGTTTCCGCCTTAAAGAGAATCTATAGAACCCAACACTGACCTTACAACGGCCTAAACCCAAGCCCTAAATCCTAAACTCCTAAACCCTAAATGCTAAACGTCCTACGCTTTAAATAACCCCTGATCTTCAGAGCCGCACGGTGGGCGGAGAACGCTGTGTTGGCTGAAGAAGTTTCGCTCCCAGAACCTCGCAAAATGCGCTCTATTCCTATTCTTGTAAGGCGTTAGGGTTTGGGGTTTAGGGTTTAGGCTTCTTTGAACAGTCATGCGTACACCGGTGTGTGTGTGTGTGTGCATATCAGTATGCATATCTATAACAAGATGCACAGCAATATGTATATATATATATATATATATTTATGAATATACATCTGAATAATATTGTGCATCTAATATTACACATCTAACGGCTCCTTCAAAGCGTTATATTAAATCACACGGTATGTACGGACATATGCATATATCTATATCTGTAAATATATATATATATAGATATATATATATATGTATATCTTTATACACATGCGTACACGCATGTATGTATGTAGACATCCATCCATCCACCCATCCATACAGACATACATATGGGATCCGTTCAGGAGTTCTTTAAGGGTTAAGGGTTCAGGGTTTAGGGTCCAAGATACGGGTTCCTTTAAGGGCTCTTTAGGGTTTAGGGTTTAGGGTTTAGGGTTTAGGGTTTAGGGGTTAAGTTCTATCAGGGTTGGGGTATGGGGTTGTGGGGCTTTGGGTTGCTCCAACAGTTCTTGAAAGGTTCATTTCGTCTTTCTTTAACGGGCTTGAGTTTCAGCGGGGATGGCGCCACAAACCTTCGTCACGAGAAGCCATACTTTACCAAAAACCCCGCATCACATCTGTTTGCCAGGTCCCCAAATCTTCAAGACAAAAGCAGCAGCGCATTTTCTCGACAGTACTCGGTTGCCGATCAGAGTATGTCATCACATGGTGACGACCTATGTTTGCACACGTGGATTCGAGAAATGTGAGTAATTCCTACCCAGTCATGGCAGCATTTAGGTGTTTTGCCTGAGCAGATTTTGCCGAAGCCGCAAAACTCCCACTCGCTGCCGCTCTTCGCAGCATCATCGATCTCCTTCATGAGTTGCACGGCCTTGCTGCGGATCTCGTCGACGGCATCTCTCACACGAGCGTCACTAGCGTGCTGCTCCTCCACAGAGCTGCCTGCAGCCCCGATCATCTCCACTTCTTGCAGGGTCCTGCCATGACCCTCCAGGATACGTGTCGCCTGGACATGAGCCAGCACCAGGAAGAAGCTCAGCACCAAGGTGAGGCGCATGGCGGCACAGGCCCGGCTCTAGAGTTTGGCAAATCAACAGGAGAGTTTGAGCCACTTCGGAAGATGGCAATACTAATAGTTGGCTGAGTAAACCGACGAAGGCTAGAAGCATTTTGTACTGCAGAAATGCAAGGAGCCCTAATGACGGGGTAAAGTAGATATAAGAACATAGTACCGAGAATGCCAGCACATGATGTTCGTGGTCGTCACCAGATGAGCAACAAAAAGGTAGCCGTTGTAGTACCATGACTTCTATTCTTCAGGATTCCTTCCGAAGTTTCCCTCCCGGCCGCCTGCGCTGCTCTCGAGGGTACAAGAACCCGAGTGCAGCTACAGCAACACCTGAGATGGGAGTTTGCTATAGGGCTTTCGCGTTACGGGGCGTCAGTGCTGAAAATGAATACACCCTCAACCCTGCACCCTCAACAGGGTGTCAAGCTTGAATTCCACCCTACATCCGCAAAGGAACCCTTCTGGAATGAAAGGGAACCTCTAAGGGGTACTTGAGCGAAGATCGCCAGGCCTGGCAGCCTCGGAAAGGACATTCAGGAGCATCGGGAAGCACTAACTTCGGTTCTTCATTTAGGGTTTAGGGTTTAGGGAATAGTGGAGTATAGATTATACTAATACGGAGCCCCAAAATTGTATCGGTAATTCAAACCCCCAGATTATCCAACCCAACGCGCCTGAAAACCCGATAACCCCCAAAAACCCCGCCCAAAAATTCAAACCTGAATCCCTACCTCGAACCCTGAACTTCGACTTCACCGCAAACCATAAAGCCTTTACCGTTGCATGAGGGGGGATGCAAGAGGCCAGCAGGGAGAGCCGTGAAAGAGCGCAACCTGCGACACTCCTGCACCACTGAATCCGCGCGAAAGTCACTTGTGAAACACATGCCCAATTTTAGAGCAAGTAAAAGTCAGCCCCATTGTATTTGGAGCAAGGACTGCACCGGTGCTTCGCTGTCAACCAGACTTTCAAGCAGCTTCAGCCAGGCATCCCCAGGGAGATAAGGACGCGCGTCCAAGCCGGGGCAAGTGGAATCCACTCCCAAAGCCGTTGCATGACAAACATGTTTAACTTCAGCGCATGGTAAAAGCGCATGTTGTAGAAGGCGCCCGAGGCGATGTAGCGATGCGCGAAAGCAGGTGATAAGCATACGCAAATTTACATGTTGTAAATGAGCAGCAGCTTCGTCCAACGTCCAATAGGTACCCGGATGACTGTGGCGCTCCAAGAGAGGGGCGCTTCCACTGGTGCAGCAGAAATGAATCAGCAACTCCAGATACGAAATCTGCCACGTGCTGCCCGGTGGGGCCGGCTGTACCGGCCACGAAAGTCGCTGTAGCCATCCAACCAGTTTACGCCCGTAGGCGGCGCCAAAGGGCCAAATGCTCCAATCCTCTTCCCAGGCCTCTGGAAAAGGGAGAAAGCTAGGTGCTGGGCGCCAGGACCGGGCCTTGTCGAAAAAGGCCTGGCGATCCCACGGTGCATCCTGTTGGCGGCGCATGGTAGCCACCTTGTTGCGCTCCTGTATCTCAAAGACGCCCATGTCCAGCAAAGCACGGAAGAAATCTCTGAGGAGCATGCGCTGCTCCTCACACTGGTCTGCGGCCGTCTGAGCCATGTCCAACAACGCTACTGGCAGGTCCCGACGGGCAGACTTTGCGGCTGTATCAGCTGCGACGTTGCCGGCCGCTAGCCATTGTTCCCATGGAGACAATTGTCGGAGCGTTGCATCGGAACGATGAGCCTTAATCTTAACTGTAGCAAAGTTGCCAGGGCGCGGCAGGTCCCGCAGCAGGTCAGCGTTGGCCTCTCCGGCGATGGCGCCCCAACCACTGTCGACCCATCTACGCCACAGATTGAGGGCCGGCTGACAGTCGCTGCAAATAGTTGCTGAAACGTCCGTGGTGGCAGATAGCCACCTGCTCGTCCATGCAATGGCTGCCAGTTCTGCTCGAGGCACAGTTTGTGGGCCCGGGACACATCCCTGAGCAACGACTGAAAAACAGGCCAGGAGGGGAGCGCCTTGCACGTCGGAGGGCAACAGGTCATCAGGGGCCTTAGGGCAAGTACCGATCACCACCGCCCAGGCCGTGAGACGGGCAGTCGGGCATTGGGAGTGCAGGGCACTTGCATCTGTGAAAAGTGTGATGTGAGAGCCACGGTAAGGCGGGGCAGGGGCCGGCATGCGAAGCTGGGCCATGAGAAGCTGAACCACGGAAGCTTGGAAAGGCCAGGCCACGTAGGGCATATGAGCCCAGTGCGGATGCTCCCGCCGCACCTTGTCAAGGCAGGTTTTGTGCGGGGCACGCTGTTGCTGCAAAGCTGGGCAGGAAAAGATACGATGGGCCTTGGTATCCACTGCCCCACATAGCACACAGAACTCTGTATCGTTTCTCGACCAGGTCTGCTTCTCGGCACCTGACATAAAGCCTCCTGTGATATGGCGAGCCAAGTACTTCTGTTCCCAGGGCTTGAAACCGTGGAGGACTTGGGAGGTCAGATGGACATGGGGCACGGGGGCATCTGTCATGCCGTTGCGGTGCCGTACATGGTCTTGTATGTTATCAGCCCAAGCACACTCGATTGCGTATCGCACCTGGCGCATAGTAGAGCTGAACAGGTGGAAGTGACAATGGAGAGGGCCCTTGAAAACACCGTCGGGGGCACACGTCCACCCTGTGCGATGAAGGATGGCCTGAAGCGCTCCTGCTGGGCCACAAATCGTGCGCGAGGATTGCTCGGCGCCATGTAAATGGTGCCAAATCAAGGAGGCCGCAAGTGGCGAACTCTTGAACGCCCGCTTCAGCTGGCTCAGGTGATGGCAAAGTAAGTAAACCTCGGGATCTTGCACATGAGGGAGCAGGCCAAGGGCAGCAACGGCGGACATGGTATGATGGGGGCCCACGATGGCCCGGGCCGCGGCACTTCGTAGCAGTTTAATGCTGGTGGGAGACGGCAGCAAGCCCTCCGTACCGAAGAAGAGAAAAGGCCAAATGCCGCTTTGCACAACCTTGGCGCGGGAGGTGGGCGGCTGAGGGTCTGTGCCCAACAACAGGAGCCTGTTATGCGCATCCTGCAAACGGTCAGTGAAGAGGCGGGCAGGGCCGCGGCGGGCAAACTGAAGGTAGGAGCCGAGCTCTTTGATTTGACCAACCAAACGAAGGTCGGTAGACCGGGGCAGAAAGTCCACCCCAACCTGCTGCCACCAAAGTTTGGACAAGTCAGTTGTGGCCCATTGGTACGTCTTGCTCCAGTCAATCTCCAGGGAGAGGGCTTGCACGAAATCGTTAAGGACCAGCAGAGCTGGGGCGTGGTTATCAGGAGCGTCTGAGGACCAGGAAAGATTGTCCACATAGGCCTTTGGCTCAACCAAGCCCTGAAGGAGCGTGACGTACAGCCAACACACGGCAATCATTGCAAGGACTGACACAGGATCGCCCTCTGGCGCGCCAGTAGTGGAACGCACCGGGGGGCCCAGGCTACCACAAATCTGAAAAGACCTCTGGACCTTGGAAAGGGACTTGCACCAACACGACACAACCTGCGCGGGCATGCCCAAACGTTGCATGAGGTCCGAAATGGGCGCACGTGGCAAGAAGTTGAAGGCCTTTTTAAGGTCAAGGCAAAAGCCGGAAAGGTCCGTTTTGGACAGAAGGCTGTCCTCGACAAGGGCCTGCAGGGAGTAGGAAAGGTCCACGGCCGACCTACCTTTCAGGCAGCCTGTGATGGTGGGGGGCAGTCTTTGGCTCCAGGTCTGCAAGACCTGTGTACACAGCACCCTTGCCCAAAATCTGAAGAGGCAGCTCAAAATGGTGATGGGACGAGCTTGATCTGCGCCGTCAGGCGAAGCAACTTTGCTGAGCACGGCAACGCGCGCTGCCATGATGTCCTCAGGAAATCCAGTGGACAGGTAGCCGTTTAGTATCGTGGCAAGGTCCGTGAACATCAGAGAGGTCAACATGGGAATCCGGGCAAGGGCTTTGGAGCATCCGGACAAGTTGCTGGTAGCGAGGCCAGTTTGAGATGTCGGCCTCCTCCGAGGCGCTATCTCGATTCCAAATTGGAGCCCAGAAATCCATTAAGGAACCGACCACAGCTGGCCAGGAGGTCTCGTGCTTGCAACGACTGATTCGCCCCGATGAGGGCAACACTGCATCATCATCTGAGGGGAAAAGCACATGCAGTTTATTGCCCGAACGGCTCGTGACCTGACCTGGAACCTGCGCAAAAAGAACCTGGCTATGGGGCTCGAACTTGGAGGCGTCTGGCACTTGCATTTGCAAGAGATGATGGCCTAGGCGGTGCAGCACAGTAGCGGCCTGGGAGCTGGACACCTTGACACATGTGAAGGGAGGCTTGGCAGCTGGGCGAATCCTGACAAAGCTACGGGAGCACCCAAATTCGCGGGCATCCACATGCAGCTTGAACTTAAAGACGCGTGCCTTTGTGGCCACCTGCTGCTTTTGCAGTGCTTCAACGTCGTAACGAACGAAGCTGGTGAGGTCCGCCACGAATTCGGCAGGGGGCCTGTGCTGTGGGAAGGCCGGGAAACATGGCCACTGTAGGACCCATCTGGGAAATGACTTGCCATAGCCCGCGGCGCTTGATATGGCCGCCCATTCCTTGTCCAGAGTTCGGGGCCAACCATCAGGACTAAGAGGGCCTTTGAAAGCACCACTTACAAATTTGGCAAGTCCCTGACCGTAAGTAACGAGGCGGCGGAGTTGTTTCAGGCGTTGGCGCCCCAGAACGGAGGTATCCTCGGCAAAGGGGGCCGGATCACCTTGGCGGCCATGTCGCGGGAGGCAGGGCTGCTGGGCCTGTATGCGCACCGGGGGGCGACATCTGCCCGCGCAAGCCTTGGGGAGACCCTTGAGGGATTGACGGCCATCACCCTCTTTGTACTCTTGATGGATGGCACGAGAAACGGACTCTTCAACTGCTGCGGACCACAGGCGAAGCTTATCCCCAGGGCTGAGCTCAGGCGTAGAGCTTTGAAAAGCAACCTGTAGTGGTGCCGCGACAGGGGCATAAGAAGCCTCCAGGGAGGAGGGCGCAAGGAGGAGACCATTGAAAGTGCGCGGTTGAGGCCAAATCCATCTTGGCGGGGACCTGCCAGGCATGCGCAAATGCAGCCGCATGGGAGAATGACTGTCGAAGAGATGGGCCTCCGACAAGACGTCAGCTGACTCGAAAAACTGCAGGAGCCAGGGCGGAAGGAGGAAAGTATCATATCTGGTGGCCCCTTTACAGGTGCACGGCAGGTGCAGGTCGTGGACCTGGGCAGCGAAGGCTCCAAGCTCGACCCAACCAAGGTCACGGAAAGCCTGCCATGCAGGGAGCTCAGTTGGGCAGGTGTTGAAATCCCCCGCCACAAGTGCTGGAACACAAGAAACAGTTGCACGCTGGAAGGCCCAGGCCAAAAGCAGGTTATTTTTATTTGCTGCATCAGGCAAACACCGAGGCACCCCATAGATGGAGATAACCTTGATCTCAAGACAGTGAAGTCTGACGAAGCTTTCGGAAATCCTGCAACTCGTGCTCATTGCCGTAGGCAGTGGCTGCACTGCGGGGCGACAAGGGCTCTTGGAGAACACGGCCACCCCAAGGGCATAGCTGCGCAACATGGAACGTCCTGTAGACAGGTGGTGTCTGGTTTCAGTGGGATGACCCCACACACAACGGTACCCCAATCCCCGAAAACGATGGGTCATGATGTTCTGCACCTGCGCGTTGGCAGATGTTTCACTTGCAATGAGCACATCAGCTCCAACTTGATTAACTTGCCATTCCTTGTCAAGAATGGTGGTAGGGTTGACGACGGCCAAAGTAAGCAACGCTGCAGAGCGGACATGCGGTGGGCCAGGATGATCGGCCTCACCGAATCGAAAACCAATGAACCATAAACGGAAAGGAGAGCGGCCGCTTGTCAACTCCAAAAACCCCAATGGCATCAAAGGGATGCCATACCCCGGCTGCTGGAATTGTCACAGGTCATCTTGCCCACCCATCTCAGGCAGCTCAGCTGGGCGCTTTTGTGGGCTCGCGCGCCTTGTGAGCATGGCCTTGATGTCCTCGAAGCCAGACTGCATTTGCACCTGGTGGGCTAGTTGGGCCTGACGCTGCTGCTCGGCATTTGCCTGGAGTTGCTGCTGGAAGTCCTTGGCAAACTGGTTCATTTCGCCTTTGACCTGATCAACCTGTTGCTCGACCACCGTCTGCGTAGTGGCGAGCTGCTGTGCCATGGCGGTGTGGCCACGTCGGACTTCCTCCAGTCCTGCCTCAAGTTTCTGGAGGCGCGTCTCCTGCTGGTCATATCTCTGCTGATGCGGGGCCTCAACCTGGCGAGGGCCGGAGGCGGCGGGGGCAGCGATGGGCCGCCCATGTGCAGTCAGGTAGCTGCGCCATGGATCATTTGCAGCCAAAGGATCCTCGTCCGGCCCTTGAGTGGTAGTAGATCCTGTGGAAGGGCGGGGAGCCCGGCCGGCGCAAACAACAGGCCTTGCTGACTGCCGGGGGGCAACTGCTTGGACCAGTACGGCCTGCTGATTGATGGAAAGAAGGCCTGCGGGAGGCGGGCCACCAGCGCCGAGAAGCCATTGACCCGGGCCCATGCAGCGAAGTGGACGGACATCCCAACCCATCTGCTTGGCCCAATCCTGTATGTCGGTTCCTCGGACCTGGGGAGGGGCCGATAGCAGCTTGTACAAGCCTGTGACCTCAACCTTTGGCGGGGCATCCTGGTGGGGGCGTACGATGGCCCATGCTGCTTCGAACGCGGCCTCAGCAACTCGAATCCCGAAGCGACGTTTGGCTCCGACCAAGCCAAGAGGATCAGGCACCTGGAGGCTCAAACGCGCAACCTCGTCTTTTTCACCCGGGGCCCAAACAACTGCGTAGCCTTTTGCAATTTCACCTTGCCAAGTCTTAGGCGTGAGGTACACCTGTGAATGGCCAGAGCACCTGAGGAGCTGCAAGAGCTCTCCTGTTTGTACACGACAGTGGAACTGTATGGACTCACAGTCAGCCGGCGGGCAGGCCTTGCCATTTTTCCGAAAGCTGCGGCCCCAGGGAGCTTCTAGGCTAACGGTAGAGCCGCTGGCACGAAGTTTATCGGCGATCAATCGGACGGGGTTCTGGGTGAGGCACTGCCAGTCAGCGGCCGCAAATTCATCTTTGAAGACCGTGGCGCAAATGCATGTGGCTTCGGGCAATGCAACGGTGGCATCCTTGTCGCACTTCGCGTGCCTTGCCAAGATTGTGCCAACAGGCATGCACGAGGACCTGATTTCCAGAGGTAGTAGTTGCAGGGACACCACAGTGGCCTTGACAGGTGGCGGGCGAAGGGCAGGAATGGCCGAGGATCACAAGGCCCAATTCATCATTACAGTTGCCAGCCCAATCCTGCAGTAGACGGTTGGCGTCGCCGGAATCGCACAAGTAAACACCACTGGCGCCCGGCATCAACTGACTGAGAACGGCAGCCGGTGTGCCATCAGCATTTCGGAAGAATCCTGGCAAGAGTGCAAAATCAGCCGCCTTGGGCTTGGGCTCGGCACGTATGCGACGGCGTGTGGCCTCAGCCGCCGTAGACATAAGAGCCTTTGTGGCACCGGAAACGGCCTCAGGAACTGGGACACTGAACTGCTTGCAGAGGACCTGGAGCTGATGCCACCTATGGTCGGGATCGCTAAGGTCAAAAACTCGCTGAACTCGAGGAAGGCCAGCTAGTGGCAAAAGCTTGTCCACAATGGCAGTTGTCTGACTCAGGGAAAGTCCCTGGTCGAGGAGCAGCTGGGCCATATCCGTCTGGGCAGTTTTGTACTTAATGTCCTTAGCCCCTCCGCCTCTTGTTTCAGGCATGAAAGAAATGAGAAGCCAACCCGCCTTGTTGACGAAACCCGGCGGCAGGGGACCCTGGCAAGCCTGGCCTAAGCATACGGCCGGTGACACCTGGCGAGGGCCTGAGAAGACCCGAGACGGGACCGGCATGTTCACAGCACCGCAGGCGGCATCCCACAAGTCACCCAACTCAGAAAACTCAAGGCCGGCAGGTAGAAAGCCTTGCCAGAAAGTACGTCCCTCAACCTGGACCTTGCATGCCGTGCTTGGCTCAAGATTGTTGACCGCCACCGATTCCATGGCCCGAAAAAGCCCTGCCAGGAGATGCTTGGCGCAGGTCGGCAGCACCTGGTGTTCTGGAAGCCTGAACCTGTCCTTGCAAGGAACGAACACCAAGTCGGCTCTCAGAGACTCGTTATCAACGGTCGGTAGCAAGTTGATACTCCAGCCCAGGGACAGGAAGAGTGGGGCCGGGAAGCCTTTGCAGAGTGGTACAGCATCTGGGCCGGTGATGCGGATGCTGGGCGGGGCCACGGCACTCAATGTGGTGAATGCAGAAAGCTGATCCAAGGAAACCTGGCCGGAAGACTGGAAAGGATCAGCAACCCTGAAGTGAACCATCCCATGCAAGTCATCCCTGCCTTTAATGCGGTGGCCCTCGAGCGTAGTCCAGGCTTCCTCCTCGAAGAATTCGGCCTCGCGCCAACCTTCCAAGGCCTGTGTTTGGGCCATAGCCCAGTAGAAGAGAGGACCCCCTCTGAGCAGGAAGTAGTAAGCCCGGCGCCCAATGACAACCAACAGATCTTGCTCAGCTGCAGCTTGCAAGGGCACAAAGGGGAGGGTTGGCAGCGACTCAAATTGAAGACAAGATTCTCCTGGCAAGTCCAGTGAAGGGGCCAAGGGCTGGTCCAGGGGGACCGGGCACAAGTGAAGTTGCTCAAGGCACTCATCCGGAAACTCGTGGCCCAGACAGGACAAAAGGGCGGTGATCGAAACATCAGGGGCCAAGACAATTTGGCAAACATCGGCCTCATCATACATCTCAAACCTGCCAAAGGTGCGCCCCTTTGGCGGGCGAAGTTGACGTGTGTGCCACGGCAAGGCATCAGCCACAGCCTCAAAAGCCTCACCCCGGCGATGAAGGACCCAGCCGTCACGCAAAGGCAAAAGGGCAGCCTGAGACGCCCTCATACGCATGGCCAAGCATTGAAGAAGCGCCTGTGCATTTGACACCTGCAAAGACCTGGGGCCAACAATCTGGAGGGCGAAGGCAAGTGGTACGACTGCATGGAGAGGGGAGAGGCCATTTCCGAGCAACACCATCTGCTGGCGGTCGTCTTTTGGCAGCCAGATAGGGCAGACCGCCCCGTGGATCAATGCAATTTCCGCACCGCTGAAGAATCTGGCTCCCTGCGGAAGGGACAGGAGCACCCCGTACAAGCCGGCACGTTCCAAGGCACCCGTCGCCAACTCGTGTTGGTAGTGGTACTGGGCAACAAAGCACGCCGCTCTGTCAGAGGGAGTACGGAACCGAAAGCTCTTAGGATCCTGGGGGCGCGTGGCAGCATGCATGCGAGGGGGCATGAACCAAGGGTCCAGGTACATCTGCATTACCTCTTCAGGTAAGTGGCACGCCTTTTGCATTTCAGCAGGCAGATCAAGTAGGCAGTCAAAGCTGCTAAGCGTAGGCCGGGGCGGCAGGACCGGCGTGTCCATAGTAATGCATCTGGCCTCAAGATCATTGCGGCGCAGCACGACAAGGAAGCGCTTGCGGGAGACCGGGGCACACTCAAGCAAGTCACTCATGCCCATCCAGGCAACTTGGTAGCCAGCTTCAGTCCAGGCTGCCTCAACCACGCTGTAATGCTTGTGCTGTCTAAAGCCCGGAACTTGCTCAAGGAGTATCACCGGGGGCCGAAGGAAAGCCATTTGGCCCATAAAGTGCAAGAGCAAAAGCCCATCCGGACTTTCAAGGCCTGAGCCTACACCTCCAGAGCTCCAAGGCTGACATGGAGCTGATGCACAGATAATGCTGGGACGTGTCAGAGCCGGGCCCTGCAACCACCATGTATGCTCAAGACTGGTGCACAAAAAGGCAGGTGTGTCAGAGGACCATCCCTCGACAAGAGCTGCCTGGTCGAAGATGCAAGTGGCGCCCGGATTGATTTGTCTGGTGCCCAGAAAACATTCTTCTGCCGTATCAAGCAACCATTTAACTCGTCCTTTATAGCCGAAAGACTTGAGGACCCGAAGGCCCTGACTCCAGCCATTGAAGCCTCCACAAAAGACCTCGGCAGTTTCAAGAACTTCTGAAGTCTGAACGAAGCAAGTCCCAGCAACCACTGAAAGTCCACGACACGTGTCAATCACAGGTACCTCTGAAGCAGCGGAGACCTGAGCCTGGAGGATCCGAATGATCTTGCTTGTACTAGCCACCGTCCGGTAAATGGTTTCCGAAACCGCAACCAGAACTGCCGTGGGTGATGCTGGGGAGACGTGCTGTTTGTCCTCGAACCAGCTGGCCAAAAGGTGGCCCGAAAGCAACCATCTGCCCTCATGCCAGTTGGCCCTGCCATCCAGAGCCACATGAAAAGCCCCACTGTTCCGAAAGGACAAGTTCAGAGAAGTGGAGGCCTCGTACAAAGTACGGATATCGTCCCAGTAGGATCTGTCATCCCCACTGACTTCACTGAAAGATCTCTTAGCAGCGTTTTCCATGGCCCGGATTAGTACCCCTGGGTCGACAGCTGCGCCGACTTGAAGGCTCGGGCCCCAACAGCTGCAAACCATAAAGCCTAAACCCTGAATATCCCTAAAGCCTGAAAACTGCCCCAAAACCCGCAGATCCTGACCTCTACTAGCCCGAATCCCCAATTCCCCCGCAATCGAATAATCAAACCCCCAAACGGTGGCACCAAAGGGTTTAGGGGTTCAGGGTTGAGAGTTTTATAAGTCTGAAGGCCAGTATCCACGACATAGTTTGTCCTGAAAGCCCAGGTACTTAAACAAAACCATAGGATACTGGGACATGATTAGCCGAAGATTTGTAACGAAGGGGCTGAAGCAAGGAACCCTGACCAAAAAAACGCTCGCTAAGCCGCACGAACCCCCCTATCAATAAGCCCCTATCAAGATCGCACAGAAGCACTGTACAAAGACCATCTCGAACCCTTTACCAAAAACAGAAGACAAGAACTCCAAGCAAAGCTAAACCCTAAACCCCTACACCCCTAAACCCTAATCCCTAAACCCCAAAACCCTGCACCCCTATAAACCCTAAACCCAGACAAGGGGCCGCAAGGTCGGTGAAGCTGTGAGCTAACTTCTTGAGCCGCACATGCGGCTGCGAGCGGAAGAGATCACCAGAAAGGGAAACGGGCGGAGAGCGAGAGAGAGAGAGAGAGCGAGAGATATGTGCGCATCTATGAAGTAGGTGGGATTTGTTTAAACACACAATTCATAACTCTATCTCCAATTTTGGAGTGAGAGAGGGAGGGAGACAGAGAGAGAGAGAGGGAGGGAGAGAGAGCGAGAGAGCGAAAGAGAGAGACAGAAAGTGAGAACAAGCAGAGGACTCAATAATTGGATAAGCAATGTACGGGGTCCCTGTTGGCGCTGCTGATCGCGGTAAACTTCTGCAATGCTGCTAGCTGCACTATGGGGCTGCAAGTGTATTACTGAAGAATCTTCCCGCCGAGTTCTATGCTCTGCTTGTAGAGCCAAGGGCCTGTCTGCAAAGCTCTGACCCTCAAGCAGCTCTATCGGAGAGCTTAGGGGCTTAGGAATACTATCCCGTAGGGTTCAGTACCTTCAAATATATGCTACAATATAATAGAGGCGCTGGGGCCTTAATAATCAGAATAGGGTTTTGGTGCATATTATAATATAATGACAAAACATAATTTATACGAATAATAGTAAGGAGCCCTAAAGAATAACACTGTTTATTGGGGCCCCTATATTACCCCAAAACGGCCCCACCTCGCAACCCTCTGAGTTTTTGGTCCGCAGCGGGCTTGAGCGGTGTCGAGATTCGTGAGCTCGGAGACTCCAACACCGCTGACAGGGTGAGGATCACTGCTTGGCTTTAGGATATTTAGGGGGTTAGGGCATATTTGGGGTTCAGGGGGGTTTAAGGCATAGTTAGGGTTTAGGGGGTTAGGGCATATTTGGGGTT